CAGGGTATGTAAACTTATGAGCACAACTGTAGATGTGCTGTGTAAAATTGTGCAATAATAACTCCTATTAATCTTAGCCCTTTTGTTTGTGTGTGTGTGTGCATGTGTGTGTGTGTGTCTTGTACAACCTCTATTTGAACCATTGAGGTGATGTCCAGCTTTTCATAAATTGCTAGCATGAACACACACTTCCACACACATTCCTGTCATTTTAAATTCATACCGGAAAATAACCAGCATGGCTTTTCTATAAGCATCACAGAATAATTAACAATATAAGAATTTGAGACAGATGTGGAATCTATGTTCAGTATTTCTTACTTAATAACAAATCAATGTACATTCCAAACATAGAGGCTTCTGTTTGAGAGTCAAGCCAGTCAACCTAACCTTGACTACAAATGGCATTAAAAAGAAATACAAGTACACATGTTGTAGAAAGGGAATTATTCATTTTATTGCTGCTAGCCATTTATTAAAAAAGGAGATGGTTCTAGTTTAATTAACTGAGTTGAGAGCAGCAGATGGAACAGAATGTCTTGCAGCGATAAGACAATTCCGAAATGGTACCAGATGTTGGAAACTGTCCCTGGTGTTGTTTGAGTGCAACACAGATGTTACAGTCCCACTTGGCTAGTTTCTAAGCACTGCAGGCTAAACAGCTGTGATGTAACCCATATAATGTACACAGGCACTAAAAGTAGAATAATTGAGCCACTGCTACTTCCTATAAGGATGTGGCCACTCAGAGATGACATTTTTTTAAGGACAAATGAAGAGTAAGGCCAACTTTTTAGTACTTTCAGGGGAAGAAAGGAGCTAATTAATACATTGCCCAGGAAGCTCAAATTCCTGTATTAATGAGAGGTTGATTGTGCAGCAATGAATATCAGCTCAAATAAACACTATGCAATAGCTCATTAACATATACAGGTTTAAAAAATTAAAGAGCAGCTTTTCTCCTGAGTCTAATAGCAGTTTTAGAGGGGGCTGATTTTTTTTTGTTCCAGTTATGGATATCCTGAAGTATCGCAGCCCCAATTTTTGTCCATCAATCTTGTCTAACCGGTAACACCAAATATATAGTAGTGCTAAGCCATATAGTTTGTTCTCCTAAATTGAAATTCTCTGTGAAATGGCTGATGTATTATGATTATGCTCAAGTGAATTTTAATAATTTTTCTATTTTGATTGATAAAGTATTGTTGGGAAGAATAATTGAAGTGCTGATTTTTTGAATTCAGTGGTTTCAGTTCTGGAAAGAGAGTATGTCAACATATAAAAAATAAAGCCCAATTTAGATTATATGACTTAAAATGTGGAATCATGTGTTCATCTTTTATGCTTTCACTTGTTCAAAACTTAATTTGTGCAAAGTCAGTTTAAATGTTGCGTTACCTGCAGCATAATAAGCAAAAAGAGGGTTTTTTAAATTTTTTTAAAAAACCCAACCATTATTCTTTGTCTTGTTTGATTAGAATTGTTTTACTATAATAACAAGCCTTTGTCTATAGTAATTTTTTATTTGAGCTGTATGAGAACAATATTCAGTATGATTTGGATTAATGTACATAAAAGGGCAGAATGCCATTTCTGGGCCTCATTATATACTTAGTTTGGATGGGCATTGTTTACCCGTTCTCTCTCTTCTATATTTTCAGCATTAGTATGGACCTTTTATTTTCTATATCCATCATGAGATGCGTGCTGGATTACATTCTTTTTGTTTTTTCTTATAAAAAGTATGTGTAAACTTTACCAAAGGAAGTGTTTCTGGTCTTCTTCATGGTAACCTGCCTTCTTATTCCTTTGGTTTTAGGTGGCTCCACTGACCTCTTTGGAGGCTTTGCTGACTTCAGCTCGACTGCAGCTGCCTCCGCAAGTGGTCCCCCATCACAAGGTAGGAAAGGGAACAGAATAGACTCCAAAACTGTTCAGCACTATTATGCTACTACAACCAAAAGCCAGTCATTTCGTTTGAACAGAGGGCTTTTTTAAAAAGCTGCAGATATAAGGATGAGGGAAGAATCCAGTTTGTTTAATACAATAACCAAAGGCTGTAGTAGGCAGGATGATAATTCACACTGATGGGAGGAGGTTTTGTGTTTGATTTTGATGTACATTATAAATGTGTTAAACCTTTCCAGAGGCTTATAAACACTGTTTTCTTTGGATTTTTACTGAAAAGCTGCATGAAACCTCATCTCTGCTTTTTAGCAGTTTGCCACTCGTTATTAAAACTGCATCTTTTAGAGAGCACCAAGGCCCACAGTAGGGGGTTTGGGAGCCATACATTTTCCTACCATTGCTTTAGGCCCCCCTGTTGTCAGTTCATAGAAAAATTGATTTTTGTCCTGCCTCTAATAGAGTATTTGCCCCAGTGTATTATTCTGCTTCTTATAACATAAGCATATAGATCAGTGGTGGCTAACCTTTTTCAGCTCCCGTGCCGATAATTGCGCGCTCGTGTGCCAGCACCTAGAAGGCAATGCATTCTGGGGCCCCCACGCCCCCTGTGCATGTGCACGTGACCCCCCTTGTGCGCTGTGCATGCACACGCAACTCCCTCATGCACCGCGCGTCTGCACATATGTGTGTGATTCCCCCCCCATACACCACATGTGTCTTTGCACAGGCGTGCGTGACTCCTTGCGCACCGTGCATCTGCGCATGCGTGGGCGTTTCCCCCTCGCACACAGCATGTCTGCACATGCGCACACAACTCCCTCACACCCAGCGCGTCCCTGCGCATGCATCTCCTGCACACACAGCCTCAGTCCCTGCACATGTGCGCCAGATACCCAACAGTCAGCTGTCAGGCGGCGGCGCACGCATGCGCAGTGGGGCTCTTCCGGGCGACCTGTCACATGCCGGGAGAAATGGCTCTGCGTGCCACTTCCGGCACACATGGCATAGGTTCACCAACACGGATATAGATTGTTTTGAAAACTAGGATTTAAGATTTTAATTTTGGTAAGATTTAAATTAAATTTATTTCTTCCCGATCTCTTTTGAGTATCTTTTTGTTGATCAAGTCATTCAGAATTAGAAAATATCAAAGGTTGTTTATTATGCCTCCATTGTGCTTGATCAACAATTTCATTCCTCAAGTATTTTTCCCCCTTGCTTGTGGAGATTTGTGCAGTTTCTCTTGCAAGTTGCAGGCCTCCCTTTCTCTCTCTTAAGAAGACCAAGAATTGTAAGGTTTCTCATAGCATAAAAATATAATTGATGCTATTTATCTTGATATGATGTTAGAAGTGTTTGTACCTGGTAATAGGACGTACCATCATTGTTTTTGGGTCATATGCATTACCTGAAATTGCCAGAGAGCTCTTCACTTGCTGAAGCTCAGGACTTATTAGGAACAGGTTCATCTATGTTCTTTAGAACTTGAAGGCAATGAAAAAAATCTCAGCTTTAGAAAGCTTTCAAATATCTTACACATTTTAACCGATCTCAGTATTTCTCTGATGTTTGCAATAGTTCTAGTTCCAGTACTTTTAATTCTTTATAAATACATTTTATAATCATTTGCCAATGCCTTAACAGATTTTAAAGCAAGGTTGTGTAGAAAAACTTTATATGTTGACAATAGATAAAAAAAGTTGAATGGCATGTTGAGAAAGCCATCTGGGATCAATGATGGAAACTTAGTATTTCTGCTGCGGTCTTTGCTGTATAATCTGAAGACATTGACTGGGCAATGGCAGTCAATACACTTTGATACCACTATGTAATCTCATTTTATTCCTACTTATTAGAAGACTAGATTTAGACAGTCAAGAAGCCAAAATTGTCTCAGTAATGATAGCAAATGACTGTGTGATACAATGTTTGTTGTTGTGCACCATATTTACTATCTTGTTTCATGTATGATATTATGTTTTCTAGTGAATTTTTTTTTTAACTACATGAGTTGGCCAGAGTTGATTTGGAATCAGGCAGCACCTAAGACTAGTTAATTAATACTTTCACATTTGCTATGATAGCTGTAATAACGGTGCTTATGTAATCTACACAAAAACTCTTTTAAGATCTATAAATCATAGTTCTGTATCTTGTGATGTTGAAAAATATCCTAAAATGAGTTGCATGTCCTAGAAAGAGAGATAATTGCTTATTTTCATTGTTTTTTTTTTCTTTAAGATTCTTGCAAAATAAAAATTATCCAGTGAAAGGGAAAGTACCCCTAGGCTCAAGATCCAGATAGATCTTGACAGACTAGAACACTGGGCCATATCTAACAAAATGAAATTCAATGTAGAGAAAAGTAAAGTCCTACACTTAGGCAAGAAAAACCAAAAGTACACATATAGACTGGGAGAAACCAGGCTCAATAGCAGTAACTGTGAGAGGGATCTTGGAGTCTTAGTGGACAACCAGCTAAATATGAGCCAGCAGTGTGCAGCAGCAGCCAAAAAAAGCTAATGCAGTCTTAAATTGTATTAACAGAGGGATACAATCAAGATCAAGGGAAGTACTAATGCCACTCTATAAAGCCTTAGTAAGACCACACCTAGAGTACTGCATCCAGTTTTGGTCACCACATTATAAAAAAGATGTTGAGACTAGAAAAAGTACAAAGAAGAGCAACCAGGATGATTAAGGGACTGGAGGCTAAAACATACAACGAACGGTTGCAGGAACTGGGCTTGGCTAGTTTAGTAAAGAGAAGGATCAGGGGAGACATGATAGAGGTCTTCTAATATTTGAGGGGCTGCCACAGGGAGGAAAGGGTCAAGCTATTTTCTAAAGCACCTGTAGGCCAGACAAGGAATAATGGATGGAAACCGAACAAGGAGAGATTTAACCTGGAAATAAGGAGAAACTTTCTGACAGTGAGAACAATCAACCAATGGAAAAGCTTGCCCTCGGAAGTTGTGGGAGCGCCATCACTTGAGGCTTTCAAGAAGAGATTGGACTGCCATTTATCAGAAATGGTGTAGGGTCTCCCACTTGGGCGGGGGGGGGGTTGGACTAGATGACCTACAAGGTCCCTTCCAACTCTGATTATCTGTTAAATCTGTTAAACCTGAAAGTTCTTATTCCTGATATCAGATCCCAAACTGATAGATTATCTCACCCAAGAATTTCATGTACGCATGAAACAAAAAGCCTTAGTGCAACCACTTTCTCAAAGGCTTTTCTTAAAAAGAGAAGGGAGATCAGGTAATAGTTATTTAAACCACTGAGTCCAAGGATGGCTTCTTCAAGAGGGGGCATACCACTGTCTAGGCAGGAAACATTCCATGCCATTTTTAATTGTAAGCATGTCACAGGTTGGGAGCTAAGCCCAGTTAAAAGTGGCCTTCAAAAAAGATCAAGTTTGATCCCAAAGTAGCTTTATTGCTTTCATCCACTTGAAATGAAGCAGGTCTGAATGACTTTTGATTGTCCCTCCCATAACTTGGGCCCACCCACCCCACCCCCAAAAATGTGATGCATAGATTTCTTGATGCACTGGGATCCAGAATGTATACAGATTTTCCAAGAAAGGTCCTGGGATGGATTAAATTAAAGCATGTCCTTTTTTTTTCAATCATCACCAAAAGTACATTTTATGAGAAAAGACGGTCTGGGTTGATTGAAGAAATGTGCCTTTAAATACTTTTAACAAGCACTGTTCTACCTAAATCTTCACAGATTATTAAAATTGTTGTTTTGGATAGCTGAATTCTGTTATGCAAATACCATAGTATAACTTAATAATATTCCTTTATCACTATTACTGTGATTAATCTGTACTGATCACCATTATGCAAACGGGCAATTATGATTTATCTTTCTCGAACAACAAAGCCCCTTTAGAAATCTTGGTTGATTCATCATCTTTGGTAAAGTTCCCCAAAGAATGGCAACAGACACCTCTCTATTTCCCCCTTCTCCTTTGTATGTGTATTTGGAATGTGAGCATCCAGTAACTGGAGAATCAACACATTCAGCAGTTACTTATCCATCAGGAATACTTTAAATGTGCTTACATTTTTAATAGGCAAGACTAATTGAAACACTCCCAATAAAGTCCTTTTTCTAAGGGAGATCAAAGCAAATGTTTCATCATAGCCCCAAGCTAATGAATTTCAACCTGCTACTTTTAGCATTAAAGTGCATCATTGTGCAGAGGTGTGGATCTTCTTTTCCCTCCCCGTCCTGGCTTACTTAAATTTTAATCCACCTTTGGAAGTGAAATTAATTAAAATAAAGGATTTTATACCCAGGTGCACAGGTAATATTAAGAGTTACTGAAGTGAGATATAAATTATTGCAACAACTGTATAATTAAGCACATTAGATGCTAGATAATCTGCAAGTTTGTCGATCACTAATTCCTTATTATCACTACAGGTCAGATTATTCTGCAGTCAGAAGGGTCTCATTTCTGTGACCTTATATTTCCCCCAGTCTTTCATTGCTCGTTTCGAAAAAACTCATCCCGTGTAATTCATGAAAGAAGTCCTGAATTATTCCCTTTTAGTCCTGCCTGACATTAAATGTAAAATGTTAGTTGCAAGGTATAAAATCTGTATAATAAGCAACATTGCTGTCCATTACCTTCCTAGTTGAAGCATGGGACAAAAATGATTGGTTAATCATTTATTAATCAAAATTTCCTTTCATTATGTGTGACTAAAAGTTATAATATTCATCAGTGGCTAATGAGTGAAATTTATCATCAAATCTACTTCACATTAAGAAAAAAGAGTAGGCTTCGCTTTCATCGATACGGTTTCTTCATAAGGTTTTCTTATACAGGTAATCCTCCACTTATGACCATTTGTTTATACAGTGGTTTGAAGTTACAATGGCCATAGAAAAAAATGGCTTATGACCCATCCTTAAAATACAATCATTGCATCACTCCCGTAGTCATGTAATAGCAATTTGGGTGTTTGGCAATCGACTCCTGTTTGTAACAGTTGCAACATCTTGCAGCCATGTGATCTTGATTTGCAAACTTTTCAGCTGGATTCTGACAAAGTCACTTAGGGAAGCTAGATTCACTGAACAACTGTGTGATTCGCGAGACCGAGTGATTTGTTTAATGACTGTGGCAAAAACGGCTGTAAAAATCAGGTCCACTCATATGATAATTCACTTTACGAACACATCATTTATTGACCAAGATTCCTGGCCAATTGTGGTCATATGCCTAGGATTACTTGTACGTTTATTCAAGTTAAATATGTACTTTTATAAAATATGGAAATAGATTCCTCGACAAAAAGAACAGAAGTAATTGGAGAGCTAGTCAGTATTTTCTGTGGAAAGATTTGAATGTGTGTGAGAGTTTTAAATGCATATTTATCAAAGCACCCGCAGAGTGCTAAATAAATACTATATAATGCTGTCAACCAGCACAACAGAGGTGAGATAAACACCCAGAGGCTGTTGAATTTGAAAGCCATTATTTTATTGGTATCCCACTTAGCTATACTGATTTAATAACTCTTTGTACAGCAAATAATTTATATGTAATCGGATAAGTTTGAACAAATTACTGTTTTTATTACTTACGACCGTGAGACCATTCTTGTTTATAGTGATTGATTCAAAGCCTCAGCCTAAGTCAGTGTTTTCTGTTTTACCTAAGGCTCCCCATTTTTCAGTATTAACAATTTAAATACTGAGCCTCTGGTGCCTCCTCTATCCATCATGGGCTTGTGGGTTAGATATTATACTGTCCAGGAATTTGCATCCTACTGATAAACTGTCAATAGGTGTCACTCTTCCAAGCCATACTTTCTGCCATTGGCGAGCAAATTTTTCATTTTTTTGCTACCATTTTTTGAGTGGTTAAAATATTCATGAGGGAGAGTAGGACCCATATGGAGATTCTATCTGCAGGTGTTAATCTGGGTGGACAAATGTCAATTCCCATTTGTATCAGTTCGTTATAATGGGGCATTTATTTGACTTAGAAAAGGTTTCTTTTCTTTTTTTTCTCTCCAGGTACAATTACAAGCGGGAATGGAGAATTCGGTGACTGGAGTGCCTTCAACCAATCTGCTCCATGCGCAGCTGCTCCAGCTGGAGAGCTCTTCACTAGTTCTGCTCAGCCAGCTGCTGAGCTCTTTGGCAGCTCTGGTCAGCAGGGTCTTGGTCAGTCTCCAGCTGCTGCAAGTTCTGGTGACATGTTTGATTTGATGGGTACCTCCCAAGCCACAATGACCTCTTCTCAAAGCATGAATTTCTCCATGATGGGCTCTAACACGGTCAGCATTAATCTACCTATGTCAAGGTCACAGGTATATAATTGTTCTGCAAGCCATTAATCACCATTTTCCACATGTTTGAAATGGTGTCTGAATACTTTAGATACTTAGCTTATTTTATCTGTTCTGAGTGTTTTAGCCTATTTTACTTTGATCGTTATTCTTTGAGATTCATTTAAATTGGGGAAAAAAAAGAGTCATCCTAGAGCACGAGTGTCAAACTCAGTCATGTCATGTGACGTATTGTAACTTTTTTTGCCTTTGCGGAGGTGGGGTAGGCGTGGCCTGCACATGACGCATCAGGCCCACAGGCCGCCAGTTTGACACCCCTGTTCTAGAGCAACAGAACATATTGTAGAATTTCTAGCTGTAACATTGTAATGGTTCAGAAGAAGTATTAATTGTTTCCTGTGTTAAGGGTTTGAAGAGGGAATTGCTCAATTACAAAATTTTATTCCTTTAGTTAGGTAAACTTCCATCTAATTTAAAAAGATTTCAAAAAATAATTGGAGGAGTCAAACATGTGGATGGGAGAAAGCAGAGGATTTTTCCGAGTTTCTGGTTTTGGCATAAACTAATGATTCAGTTTCAGAATCTAAAGAGTTGGGAAGGACTTCAGAGTCATGTAGACCAACCATTTGCCCAATGTAGGATTCACCTAATTGTTTCTGACTGATGACTATAAAACCTTGTAGTTTTATCCCTCTGGTTCCAGTCCTCCTCTCTGAGGCAATAAAGAATAAGTCAAATTCTTCTGTTGTGAAAAAAGTCAATTCCCTTTTCAGATATTATCATATTTCTACTTGGACATTTGTTCTACAGGCTAAACATATTCAAGTCTTCTAATTGCTTCTCATAGAATTTGCTTTCCAGACCCCCTTACTATCCTGGTAGGCCTCCCCTAAATTAGATTGTCAATGTCCTTTGTGATCTGTGATCCCGTTCTGTGTGAACTTTGTAGATTATTCCTGTGTCAAATTCTGAACCATTAAAGCAATGGATCTCACAACTCTAAAAATTTCTTTTCAATGTTTCCAGCCTTTGCAAAGTGTTAATCCAATGATACAGAAGCCTAATCCACTATATAATCTGGGCACAGAGATGGTCCCCAAAAATGTAAGCAAAACTCTGCCTTCAACTTGGTCCGATCCCAGTGTAAATATCAGTTTGGACAATTTAGCTCCTGGTATGCAGCCTTCAAAACCGCAGCAACCATCACTGAACACAATGATTCAGCAACAGAGTAAGCAACCATTCTCTCCTATCTGTTCATGCATGTTTCTAAAACAGGTCCCTTGGAATGGGTTTGTGTAGCATTAAAATTATCTTCATTTTGAAAACATTTCACATAACTTCAGTTTCAGTGCTTCTAGTCTCTTGTCTCAAAAGAGTTCATGTTACATTTCAAATAAATGTAGGGCTTTGCCAGTTCAATAGTAAATTATGATTTTTGCACCCATGAGGTACCAAATACAATCTCAAGAAGAAAAAGAAATGCTGATTCTTTTGGCAAACTGCTTCCAGTAACAATAGACAGTATTTAAGATGAATTAAATAAGGGCCTGATGATCTTTTAATACTTCCTTTAAAGCTTGTAATCACCTAAACATAGACATTTTTATATAGAGAAAGCATAGATAGTGGTGCAAAAGGAGTCTGGGTTGAGGAATGTTGGAAAATGAGAATGAAGCTTATTCAGGAACTACTGACTAGAATTCATTTGTTCCCGCACTGCTATATTCTGTTGTACAATATAAATTAGTAGTACTCAACAGTTACATGGTTGGTTGATTTGTGTTAGCTTTAACATATCTTTAAATGTTGGGAATGTACAGCATCATCATGAATGGTATTTCCAAATATCAGAAAGTGATAACTCTTTATTTCTCTGTTTTGGATCTGAACTTTTGGTAATCCACCAGTATGCATTGTGGTTTACCAATAGGCAGTGGGCAAGCACAATTGTAAGTAATGTGATAATGTCAGTTTGAAAGCTCACGAAATGTAGACCTATTTTATCTAGTAGTTTATCATACCCTTTCACTTCTTTTGTCGACCTCTTTTCCCAAACACTTGGGAAATCCCAAATCCATCTCTCCAGGCAATAATTGCTCTTCTTCCTAATTATAATGTCGTCCAGTCATAGATAAGGGAAATTCAAGCAGAAAAGGAAATGAGGGTTTTTTTGCCCCCAATGAAGTTAGGAATGTGCTATATAGGTGTAGATCATCAAAATACGTTGATAGGGATTTTGATAAGGGAATAGAAAGAGAAGCTGAAATTTGGATATAGGAAAGCTTCAAGAAGTAGAAGTTAATACTATATAATAATATGAGATATTAGAAAGGTATGGAGTAGTGCTCTAAAGATTGTGACTTGAATTTTAATTTATTTGAAGCTTTGATTTGAATACATCTCCAGGGGAAAGAGAGAGAAAAGATATGCCTTAAATAAGTAAGACAGCAAACATTTAAAATGCTTTCCACTTAAGCCACATTTTTCTTCCAGATATGCAACAACCTATGAATGTGATGACTCAGAATTTTGCAACTTTGGGCCTCAACTCACCCCCCAGCATGATGCCTCTTCGACCTCCAGCAAACCCATTGATGGGCAACCCTGTTCCCGTGGGGATGGGAATGCCTACTACAATGACTAGCACAATGGGGATGGCTTCCATAGGAGGCCCTAACCCTATGATGAACCAGGGCATGATGGGAATGAATGTGAACATGGCAATGCCAACTTCTGGAATGGGTTTGTCGGGTACAATGGGCATGGGAGTTCCTAATATAGCTGTGGCATCCTCTATGACTCCTGGAACTGTGCAACCTAAGCAAGATGCCTTTGCCAACTTTGCCAATTTTAGCAAATAAAGATTATAAACCAATCAGATCGAATGAAGGATTTTAGCTGCACAAATAAAGCTGGGATGAGGGTGGAAAATGCTGATCAAATGCTTTTTTTTTTTTCCCCTTCTTTTTATTGCTTATTTTAAAGGAATCCACATACGAATCCAAAGGTCATTCTTTTTGAACTCTAAAACTACTTTTGTTCAAGTTTTGGAATTGAATGTTCTTCCAGTGAATTGACACTGCAATGTCTAGGCCATGTTTTATAATGGGACAATTCAAAGCTTTTCTGGTAGCAGCAACAGTTTTAACTTTGAAACTTATGGGAAGAATGGAATTTGGGGGTAAATACGTGTGAAACTAATTTTATACTTGATTTCTTTTTCCCCCATTGGAATCTGTTTTATCTTAATTGGATCCATTCCTTTTCCTACCACTGAGTCAAATTTGAAGTCAAAGTATGCTGATCAATTTTTTATAAGAATATATATATATATATATTTTTGTCCAAAAATGGCTTACAAATATGTGATTATGGCTAATTCAAAGAGACCTGGAATGTATATATACTTTTGCTACTCTTCCAGCAATGCTGCTGTACTATCCAAATTTTTATTATCGACCTCTTTGAGCAATTTGCCTACGAATAAAGCTGGGGCAGGAAGGGATGGATGTTCCTTCCAGGTTCTGCTATATAATATTCAACGCAGGACTGGTGGAAACATTCTCCAGAACTGCTACATGGTTTCCTTTTGGAGAACTTTTTATGTATAATTTGGAATTCTTTTAAAATTGTTTTCTGCAGTTCTGCATCAGTGGCCAGTGGCATATTACCTAGCATTCTCTGGGGTTATTGTTTACATCACAGATAGTCTAAAGGCAGCAATGTTTATTCATTCTTTCTTTCTTGCAACTTTACATACACACAAAAAAACGACAGGATGACTGTCTTTTAAGTTAATGGTAATCATCTTCAAACATTTTGTCAAGCCAATAGCATTAAATTTTAGATTTTATACAATTGTTGGCTTTGTTTTATGTAAATATGGCCTTAGCAATTGCAGAATCCAATAGAGCGGAGTTAAATATATATAAATATATATATATATTATTATTATTAAAGGAAACCTGTAGCAGTCAGATTTTATGAATCAAATGAAAATAAAAGAAGTGAATGAATGAATGAAAGATTTTTTTTCCTTTACCTGTTGAAAAGAAAGCCTCCATTTAGATTCACCCACATATCATGATTTTGGATCTGGCATTGCAGAAGTTCAATTTATGTTTGCAAAGTCAGGGCTGCTACTAAAATAAGTACTATATTCTAGGTATTAAAACTTCATTGCTTCCCCCTTTCTTCTGTTGGTTACTTTATTTTTTTATTGTTCCTATCAAATTGATTAAAATTTATTTCCATTGTACTCATAATGTTCTGTTATGCATAACATTAAAGTGTTCATTAAAAGCACTGTTGGGGCTGTTCTTCCTTTCATTCCATTTGATGTTTATGAGAGCAGTTGGGGGGGTGGAATAAGGATCATTTGGGTAAAGTAATTTTTATAAATAATTTAAAAATGTTTAATGACTTCTGATCACCCACCTTTTCTATCTGACTCTACTGTTAAAAATTAAAAATGAAGCAGCCAAGATATCTTGACCCACTCCAGCCTTGCTAATGCTCCATCTACAACATTTCTAATTAGGCAGAAATTCATGTACTTCAGCTAAGTGGTAATGAAAAGTGATTCATTTGCTGAATAAGAGATGAGAGTGAGTGTAATTAGCTGACTGCGGTTTTTAATCTTTCAACAATTCAGTGTGTTTAAATTAGTTTCATAAAATAGGAGCTTTCAAGTGTTGTTACATCAAAGTAATCAAGACAAGCTTTACTGGCTGAGCAGGACAGATCTTCAGTTCCAATTTTGAAATCCTTGAACTTTTTGTGGGAATTGTCTTCACAACTTTGGCTTGTGACAGATGTTGAGAAGCAGAAAAAGAAAGAAAGCATGCAAATAGAACATGAATTGCAAGTGATGGCAGCAGATGGGTTCCATGGAGGAATGGAGAAGTGGTCAAAAAGATTTTTTATCCACTAGGATAATAAAAAAAAAAACCAGGGTGTCTCTTCAAACTAGAATGTTTTGCAAGAAACGTGGAACCAAGCTGAGTTGGACCTGAACTAGATTACTGCTTTTGAACACATGGTGAAAACCTGTCAAATATTTTTCTAGAAGTATTACTGTTTGATTGTATCCTGCTGTACCTTTTCTGTGGACACTGAGACACATAACAACACATTCAGAGCAGGTGGGAAGCATAAAAGCAGAACTATTGGCAGCTTTTCAAATCTAAGCCTCTTCAAACCTGTACCAGACTTGGATATGATTCTGGAATATGTTTCTGCAAATATCCAAGAAAGGAAATGGAAAGCAAATATAGAAACTGAGAATGTTTCCCTTTTGTATGATGATGTGAATATTTTTCATGCATGGTGGGATCCGGAATATCCTCCCAGTAGGCAGATTTAATTAATTATATTTTCACACACACACACAGGCAATGTAATGATTCAAGTAATACAGCCCCCAAACAATGTTCTAAGAAAAAAGAAATCGGGTAAAATAAACTTAGGGAGGGCAAGTGATGGCATGTATTTTGGGGGGCACTTGTTAGGCACTAAATCTATCCCTAAAGTCCATCTTCCGTTCTGATGTCAGAAGACCCAAAATAGAGATTCTTTCCCAAGGATGCGTTGTGCGCAAATTAATAAGGAACTTGACATTTCCAACACAGCTTTCATCGAAAAGTCCGTGCTGACCGCTGAAACAATATGAATCATTCTTTATGGAAAACAACTATATTTTGCCATTTCACACAATAGCAAATGAATAAATGAAAGATTTGTTGGTAATATGGTAATGCAACATATTCTAACAGAAACGATGTTTAAAACTACTAAACGAGTATGGATGGCAGCATCTGTTTTATCTTGATCCATCAGCAAAGAACCACCTCACATTTTCTATGGAAAGAAGGAACAAAAAAGGACAGATTTACCAATAAACAGCTTGTATAATGTGAGCAATCATCAGTAATAGTAATAAATGCTTAAATCCTCTTTCTCTCCCCCACCCCTTTCTCAGGGTTTAGGTTTCTAGAGATTGCAGGAAACTGAAACTGTTTGGCTATGCATTCAGTCCGAAGAACAATAATAATGATCCCAAATGCTAATTATGAAAGCCTTTTTGAAAGCAGATAATTATATATACCCAGCAGCACCATCACAAATATTGGTAGACTTGGGGATCTCAACATTTGTATTTTTCCCTAGTAAGGAAAAGATTGGCTAGAACTGAGCATGCTAGGTGACAATAGAAAACTCAACTGACTCAGGATTGACCATAATGGGAGGAGAAATAACTGAATATTTTGGAAAAGAGTAACAAAAACAGCAACATTTTTTTAACAGGAGCCTTACCTGCTGCATATTCTGTTACCTTGTAAATGAGTGTTTGGTTTGGTTCTGGTTTAATATTTTAATATATTCTTTAGAACTGCAAAATGAGATTTTTTTAAAAAGTTACAAGTAATTTGATCAAAAATAGAAATAATGATCCACAATATAAATTTGATCCCCAACAACTCTGGGGAAACCATTGCTTTTCATGTTTTCTCAGCATAGCAAAGATATCCCTGAGTTCTGTCAAGAATGGAACATTTACTTTTCATACAGGAAAAAAAGACAATCACACAAAAGTTTGATTGAGGAAAGTCAGCCAATTACACATTTAATACAGAGTACAAGAGCCTGTTGTGTAATCTTTGCAGAAAGATTGGCCTAGCATGCATTCTTCAAAGCCCCTTAGGTCACACTTATGTCTTGTGATTCCAAAGGAAATAAATAATTACATCAACATCCTACCTATTTGGGATGGGACTGAGTATTAAAAGTCAGGAGAACTTGGCCATTTTCTTGAGATTTGAAGCCATGTCAAGCGAAAATCAGTGATGTTGCACGTGCCAGTCAATTAGAAATTTAGTTATGAAAGTGGAACTGCCTTTCTAATGTTTGTGGATTTTCACAAGAAAAGAGCCAGGCAATTTATACCAGTATTTCTCAACCATGGCAACTTTTAAGGTGTATGGTGTTCAATTCTTCAGCATGTTGGCTGGGGATTTCTGGAAGCTGAAATTAACGCATCTTAAAGCCACCAAAGTTGAGAAACTCTGATTTACAACATGTTGTTATTATGAAAAAGCAATTTAAACTGCAGATGGGATTGGATTTGAGATCAAGAAAACAGTTGATGTTCCGGACACTCTAGGACATGACATTGTCTATATAGAAGTTCCTCTTCTATTTCTTTCTTTGGAGATAATCAGAGAATGAAGCTCAACAATTGTACTTGGTTATTCATATTGTAATATTTCTTGTGGTGTTTCTCACAATTTAAGCACTTGTTATACTCAGTGGTTAACATTCCCAGCAAACAACAAATTCTGTCATCTCTAACAGGTGTCAAATATGTTCATGTGTCTTTAATGGAGCTATAGCTGTTACCACAATAATGATCAAGTGCAACCACTTTATTTGATTATTTAAAGCAGGGGTCCCCAACCACCGGTCCGCGGACCGGTACCAGTCCGTGGAACAAGTCCTACCGGGCCGCTGGTTTGCTGGGCGCTGCCATCTTTTTTTGATGAAAAAGTGCTTCCGGTGAGCTTTTCCGGGTAGAAAGCTCACCGGAAGCACTTTTTCATCAAAAAAAGATGGCGGCGCCCAGCTAATGCCGGTACCGGGCCGCGCCATAAAAAAGGTTGGGGATACCGGGCCGCGGCATAAGAAAGGTTGGGGACCACTGATTTAAAGAGTTCTGACAAGGTAGTATGACATGAAATGCATGGAACAGAATGCTGTGTCTTACTTAAAACCCATTACAAATAGAACTAGGTTGCAATTAAAATTGCTCAGAGTTGATGCTGCTAAGTATAAAAATGAAGCAAACTGTTTCAGAGAAATGATTTTTACCTTGCCTCTAACACAAAACAATACTGGCCTAAGATCTCATTTCTAATTAATTACAAATTGTTATTTAGACTCACATCTAGCAATTTAGACATCATTCCTCTTTCCTGAAACTGTCAGAACCCACATCATCTATTCATGATAGTTTGCAGTGAAACATGCACCCAAGATACACCTTACTTCCTCAGAGGGCTAGGAATTAAACATAGCCTTAGGCAAATCCCTGGGAAATAATACATAGGTAAAGTTTTTTTTTTTTGTGGGATGCATTTTCTGAAACTACTTCTTAAAGAGGTAATGTGCACCCAACTGGTTGTCAAGAGGCTTCAGCAGCTTCTTTGCTAGATGCATCTAGTGATTGATTTTTAAGAAGAGTGATTGAAACAATACTAGACCTTTTCAACAGAGCCTTAAATAATATTGGTCTAGAAAACCATTTCCGTGCTAGAGGCTGCTTCCTTGTACAGCCCTCTTGAGATTTCTGCTCCTCCATCCAACTAGACTGAACCAAGGAGGACATGCTCTGTTATTCTCAAAAGTGGTGCAAACTCCCTCTGGAAGGATTGGCCTACTGTAAGTTCCTTTAACTTTTTTTTTTTTTTAATGAACTTCTTAAGTAGTACAAGTTGCCAGTGGCTTCTTTCTTCTTTTGCAAGCTTTGATGGGTAATCTCTGAGAAGACTCCATGCCACCTCTGACCTCAGGCAAGAAATATACCATTCAACCATTTCACAGTGCTGAGTTCTACTTGTATATACAATTGTACAAGAAAAAAAGGTGAACACTTGGTAACATTTCATTCAATGTGCTAAACATTTCTTTTAGAAATCCCAAGAGTTTTATGATCCAAATGGTTATGAAAAAGACAAAAAATTACAGGGTAGCATAAGGTTCTAGTTTAGTAATTAACCAGCTCTTTTAATAGATCCTCAATTACTTTGTTCCATAATAAAGTAGTTTGAATAGAGCACACACACACACACACACACATATATGCATGCATGGAAAGATATACAAACATTTTAAGATAAAGCTACATTCGACATCTGGGAACCTCTGAACAGCTGGCTACCTAATGAATATGCATCTGCTTAAGAGGCTGTAGTCCATTAATAAACCAATAGATATAAAGCAGAAACCATCTTCGTCAGCTTCAAATGAGATTGGATGCAATGTGCTGTGAAGTGTCATTGTCACATTGAATTGGGCTGCTGAGGTTAACAACCAACTCTTCAACGCCTACGCCTTTGTGCTTGCAAACAAAGCTCCATTTCCCCTCCATTGCAAAGCAGGGGAAGTAAAGACGAGATCATTTGTTTTACTTTTTTACATTTTAAAATGTTCAGCTGTGTGATGGGATACCAGATTCCTTTCCAGTGGAGATTTTCCCTCATCCTTTGCATTACTAAAAACTGGTCCTGCGTTTCGGAGGGGAAAAACAG